GCTTTCTTCACAGTCCAACTCTCACATCCATACATGACCACTGGAAAAACCATATCCTTGACCAGACGGACCTTTGTTGGCAAGGTAATGTCTCTGCTTTTTAATATGCTATCTAGGTTGGTCATAACTTTCCTTCCAAGGAGTAAGTGTCTTTTAATTTCATGGCTGCAGTCACCATCCACAGTGATTTTGGAGCCCAGAAAAATAAAGTCTGACACTGTTTCCACTGTCTCCCCATCTATTTCCCACATCACATAGTGACTGCTTAATAAGAATCCATTTAATGAGTGATCAAAGCAGGTGTGCAATTTAACAAGACCCAGAAAAAAAAATGAAGAAGAACTATCTAGAGACAGGGAGACCTGATAGACAGTTACTGCTAATATCTAAACATGAAGTAATAGAGACCTGGAACAGGAGAGAGGAAAGTGGACTGAAAGAGAAAAAGACCTGGAGAAACTTGTGAGTTGGTGGTTTACTGGTCACGAAAGGTAAAAGAGTGGGAGTAATCAAGAACCACCAAATTCACAGGGATAACCAGGTGACAGAAAGCAGAAAAATATTAATTACTATGACACTACTGGTGGCTCAGATGGTAAAGACTCTGCCTGCAATGTGGGAGAACCGGGACTGATCTTTAGGTCAGAAAGATCCCCTGGAGAAGGATCTGGCAACCCACTTAGTATTCTTGCCTGGAGAACCCCATGGACAGACGAGCATGGCAGGCTACAATCCATGGGGTGGCAAAGGGTCTAACATGACTGAGCGACTGATAGACACACGGCCCTATTATTAACAGATAAACCCTAAAGTTTAAGTGGTTGAACAGATAGGTATTTCTTCTCATACATCAAGACTATATGGATATTCCTGATGAACAGGTAGCTCTCCTTCTAGGGGTGTAGACACCTTTCATCTTGAATAGGTATCTACCAAGATCATCTGCTTAAGGTGCACCACAAATGTATGACTTTTATGGTCAGGAAATAGCAAATTTCACTTATATTCTATTGGCTAGATCTCATTTATATAGCCCAGCCAACTGCAAAGGAAGGCTGAGAATACATGTAGTCTAGCTGAATACTCAGGAAGAAAAGAAAATGTTTGGCAAACTTGTTTCTGTCTCTTCTAATGTAGATAACAAGAGGTGGTAGGAAATTTCAGGGAATGAAGGAAGAGTGAAAATTTGTGGTCTGTTTATAATCACTAGTTGGATGAGAAATATTTGAGTTGGTTCTTCCTAAAGCAACAGAGAAAACTGAATCATTATTCACAAAATTCACATGCATTTCTTTAAATGTAATAATCATGTTACATTAGGGAAGTCTCTACTTTGTAATACTATGTATTATATATTATAGTTATCTATCTTCTATACACAAAAATATCCTATCATTAATAGAATAAACTGTAAACTTACTTTCTCAGTTGTGGTTAGGGATGCTTGCAAATTTAAAAATAACCTTTTTGCCCAATCACCTTTGTAACCAATTTTTAAAGTCAGGGTTGGTGGAATAAACTTAAAGCCCATGGTCTTGCTAGCAAAAGGTCATGGCAGATGTTTACAGTGCATTTTTATAAATGTGATTCACTTACCTATTTTTCAAAATGTTATTACACTCTAGCCAAAAATTTGCCTCTTCTGGCCATTATGTGATAAGTTCATGAGACACATCCACAAGATATATCCAGCAGTTATAGCCTTAGGCCAAAAAAAAGAGGTCACCTAACTCACTTTTGTTCCCTTAGGTAATTTACTCAGGTCCCATTAACTGACATCAAAGTCAAGTTTATGAGAGAAAAACACCAACAATGTAAATCCCAGTAGTTTGGAAGTGAATTAAAAAGCTCCCAAATCAGCACTTTCCTCAAATGTTAAATAATTCATTGTGACATTATAGATACAAGCCTCCAGCAAAAGTTACATTTGAACAATTAAGGAAGTAGGAGCCAAACAAATGACTTTAGGGATAGAGAAACAAATGAATGGTTTCTCGTAGTACTATGCCAAATTACATTTTCACATTAACAAGTCTGTAGAACACCCAAGCATCACCAGTGACTTACTAGATAAAAGTCTGATTACAGAAACACAGCCTGGAACTACATACCATCTCCTAAATGTAACTGTGGATTCTGTACACTTGGGTATGAAACCCATTTATACCATTTGGGGAATTTTTACATTTGTAATGTACTACCTACTCTTTTGCAAAGTTCTTTTATAATATTCATATTACAACAACCATCAACAAAATACATTATGTTCCTATGAAGAATCAGAAGGTAATGTAGCTGTTTCTTAGAGGCTAGATTAGAGATTGGAAACACAAGGTCACAACATAGTGCACTGTACATAAAGGTAACAGTATCTGCATAGTAGAAATACATTTCAGATTTAAATTCCAACTCTATCATTTTGTACCTAGAGATTTTTAGACAAGTTTTAGTATCAGTTTTTGTTCCCTTTTCTATAAAATGGGAATGATTCTTTTATGCAGCAAATATTTAATGAACACTTATTAGGTCTCAAAGACTTCCAAGTGTTATTTTAAGATTAGTGATAGTAAACCAGCAGATATTCATTAGAGATATGTTGTTGTTGTCCAGTCACTCAGTCATGTCCAACTCTTCATGACCCCCTGGACTGCACACGCTAGGCCTCCCTGTCCCTCACCACCTCCCAGAGTTTGCCCAAGTTCATGTCCATTGCATCAATGATGCCATCCAGCCATATCATCCTCTGTCTCCCTCTTCTCCTTCTGTCTTCAATCTTTCCCAGCATCAGGGTCTTTTCCAATGAGTAGGCTGTAGGCATCAGGTGACCAAAGTATTGGAGCTTCAACTTCCAATGAAGCATCAGTCCTTCCAATGAATATTCAGGGTTGATTTCCTTTAGGATTGACTGGTTTCATCTACTTGCTATCCAAAAATGAAAGTTGCTCAGTCATGTCCGACTCTTTGCGACCCCATGGACTATACAGTCCATGGAATTCTCCAGGCCAGAACACTGGAAGTGGGTAGCCTTTCCCTTCTCTAGGGGATCTTCCCAACCCAGAGATCGAATCCAGGTCTCCTGCATTGCAGGCGGATCCTTTACCAGCTGAGGCACAAGGGAAGCTCAAGAATACTGGAGTGGGTAGCCTATCCTTTCTCCAGTGGATCCTCCCATCCCAGGAATCAAACCAAGGTCTCCTGCATTACAGGTGGATTGCTGCCCAAGGGACTCTCAAAAGTCTCCAACACCACAGTTCAAAAGCATCAATTCTTTGGCGCTTTGCCTTCTTTGCATATTCAGCTCACAACTGTATGTGACTGAAAAGACCACAGCCTTGACTATAACCGACCTTTGTCGGCAAAGTATTGCCTTGCTTTTCATCACACTGTCTAGGTTTGCCATAGCTTTCCTGCCAAGAAGCAATCATCTTCTAATTTCAAGGCTGCAGTCACCATCCACAGTGATTCTGAAGCCCAAGAAAATAGTCTGTCACTGCTTCCACTTTTTCCTCTTCTATTTGCCATGAAGTGATGGGACCCGATATCATGATCTTTTTTTGAATGCAGAGTTTTAAGCCAGCTTTTTCACTCTGCCCTTTCACGTTCATCAAGAGTCTCTTTAGTTCCTCTTCGCTTTCTGCCATAAGGGTAGTGTCATCTGCACATCTGAGGTTATTGATATTTCTCCCTGCAAGTGTGATTCCAGTTTGGGATTCACCCAGGCTAGCATTTCTCATCATGTACTCTGCATAGAAGTGAAATAAACAGGGTGACAATATACAGCCTTAATGTACTCCTTTCCCAATTTTGAACCAGTCCATTGTTTCATGTCCACTTCTAACTGTTGCTTCTTGACCTGCATACAGGTTTCACAGGGGACATTGGAGGTGGTCTTGTATTCTCATCTCTTTAAAAATTTTCCAACTTGTTGTGATCTACACAGTCAAAGGCTTTAGCATAGACAATGAAGCAGAAGTAGATGTTTTTCTGGAATTCCCTTGCTTTCTCTATGGTCCAATAGATATTGGCAATTTGATCTCTGGTTCCTCTGCCTTTTCTAAATCCAGTTTGTACATCTGGAAGTTCTCAGTTCATGTACTGTTGAAGCCTCACTTGAAGGATTTTAAGCGCTACCTTGCTAGCATGTGAAACGTGCACAATTGTGTGATAGTGATGTGGATTGATTTTTAAAGTAAATCAATAAGATATATTAACCATAAGTCTAAGCTTCGAAAAATAGTTCTTTTTGTGAAGAAAATTTCCTCATTACCATGTTTTTGGGTGCTTTTAGTTCCATGTGCCAAAGTCCACTTGCAGACTGTTACTTCTATAGAGGTTTTCAACACAGTGCCAAGTACACTTCTAAGATTAAGCAAAGTTATTGCTGATATATTACTAAAAAACATTTTTAAAATCACATTTTAAAAATCACAACTGAAATTTTAAAGTTTGTTTTATATGCAGCAAAATAACTAATATATACTCATAAATTTATTTTTTAATCTAAATCTGAGATGTAAAAGTTTCTTATTTCAGTGACTTTAATAAAAACCTCTTCACCATAAAAATAAACAAAATAAAGTTAAAGATACAGCACTGAAGTAGATCTCCTAAAATGGTAGCTGCATCATTATATATACAGCTAAGTTATCCTATTGAATAGGTTTAAAAACCATGAATCCTGGACTAAATGATACAGAGTTCTCTACAGAAATAAAATGGTATCATGATGGGGCAGAAGGGTAGCATTCAATAAAAAAATTTAAATGCTCAAGGTAGAAAGGAAAGTATTAGACAAAAACACAAGGGAAAATTTACCAGAGTTCCATGCAAAGTAGCTAAGACTATTAGATTCGTTAAGAACAATAAAAACCCATGTTTTAACCTTACAAAATATTTTAATCTATCTCTGAATCAGAGAATGACGAAGAACTAAACAGTGATTTCTACTGACCACTGTATGAAAACACAATTTAGAGAGCAATCTCAAAATTTCTTCTTACCATGAATAGATCCCACTGACCATGTCATACTTTTGACACGAAGCATTAACACTGTTGGGCCCAGCTGCCTTAGAAATAAGTAATACCACCAAGCCCCTCAACTGGAGGTTATTCTGGCTGTCGTGTACAAGACCCCTGCCAACAAGAAAAGAAAGAAAATCACAAAATAAGTTGGATGAAGTAAGAGAACTGCTGCAAATACACCCATGCTTCCAAAATCAGACAACGGGACCCGCTGAAAAGAAACAGGATTGTGGAAGAAAGAGTTAACAGGAGGAAGCAGTGGCTGCAGGCAACATCTAGAGAAACCCTGAGCTAGTTTTGAAAGTGATAATCTCAAAACTGTGAGCCCTAATGATTTGGCTTCCTCCTCTTTCTGGGTTTTCCCATGCAATCTTAACCATGTGGTCTGATAACCAGAGGAAGCCATAGTGTTAAACTGTTTTGTGGTAGTTGGTTGTAGGTGAAATATAAATTGTATGGCTTCGATGAAGTTGTATTATGTGGTGATGACGCTGGTAAGGGGAAGGGTACAAAATGATTTGTATCTTCACAGGTTGAAAATTTGAGAAGCAAAATGGAAATGATTGCCACTGGCAAATATTTTACCATTTCTTATTTTTTATGCAAAGAATAATCATTCTAGGCAACGTTAAGCTTTAAAATAGAATGTAATTTTTTTGTTATGAATATTCAATTTCTACTATAACTAACGTCAGAAATACTTTCTGAGATTACATTTTTGTTTAAGTATCACAAAAGGTTGTCATATAAGAACTAAAGGGCAACATTAGAAAAAGAAAAAAAGACAGAAAATTATGCATAACATATTATAAAGGGCTCAGTCAGTAAAGAATCCGCCTGTAATGTGGGAGACCTGGACTCCATTCCTGGATTGGGAAGATCCCCTGGAGGAGGGCATGGCAACCCACTCTAGTATTCTTGCCTGGAGAATCCCCATGGACAGAGAAGCCTGGCGAGCTATAGTCCATGGAGTCGCAAAGGACATGACTGAAAGACTAAGCAAAACTTATTATAATAAATTAACACTTACAACAATCTTCATGAGCACTAATCGAATAGGTTATACTAAAAAGTATACATAAATAACATACAAACAAAATTCTTGAATGTGGTAAAAATAGCAAAAAATTTTTATTAATTTTTATTGGAGTTTAGTTGACTTACAATTTAACTAATACAGTTGTATTAGTTAAGTTATACATCAAAGTGAATCAGTTATACACACACACACATTCTATTTTTTAGATTCTAATCCCATATAGGTCATTACAGAATATTGAGAAGAATTCCCGGTGCTATCCAGTAGGTTCTTATTAGTTTTCTCGTTTATATATGTAGTGTATATATGTCAATCCCAATCTCCCAATTTATCCCTCTTCCCCTTCCCCCTTTGGTAGCCATAAATTTGTCTTCTACATCTGTGACTTTATGTTTAAAAACAGGAAAATTTGTATTCTAATACTTCACTGACTTATTAAGACTTCCTTGGGTGACTTCTGAACAAAGAATTAATTTAAATTAAGTTAATATTCAAAATTAACGAGTTAGCCCATTACTTAAGAAAATTTTCACCCCTCATGCTTCCAAGTAAATTTTTAAAAGGGCCCCCTACTCTTTCATTAGTTTCGAAGTAAGACATGTTCAGGCTTACTGCAAAAATAATAGTTACAGTTCTTTCTTTACTTATATTTTCTCCTTAATCTAGTAAGTGATCTTCAGTAGGTTAGAGAGGTTAATGATTTTTACAAAAAGGTTCTAACTTCCTAGACAAAAAGAAGTTAATTTAAGGTAATTAAGCTATACTATAGCAGAAACACATAATCAACAGAAATATCCAAAGCTCTTTATTATAATGTAACAATCTACTTAAAGCCTACAAACCTGAACTGTAGGGAGACTGGGAAGCATAGTATTTTGGAAGAAAATGTAAAATGGAGTGCTTTCCAAGTTTTTTGCTTTGAATTACAGATTTTAACTCATGCTAATGTGTGTGGGTGCTCAGTCGTGTCCGACTCTTTGCAACCCTATGGACTGTGGTCTGCCAGGTTTCTGTCAATGGTATTTTCCAGGCAATAATACTGGAGTGGGTTGCCAATTCCTCCTCCAGAGCATCTTTCTGACCAGGGATTGAACCTATGTCTCCTGCATTGGCAGGTGGATTCTTTACCACTAAGCCACCTGGGAAGCCCAACATAGGCTACTAGATCCTTAAACATGTTTTACCTGAGGTATATAATAATAATATTAAAGAGAAGCTGTGAATTGGCTCCTAATTATAGAAAGGGAAAAGAGGAAGGTGAGGCTGTGTGTGTGTCTGTGTGTTTGGGGAGTTGAGCCTGTTTAGGAATGAAAAGCTATGGTCTAGTCAAAGCTATGGTTTTTCCAGTAGTCATGTATGGATGTGAGAGTTGGGCTATAAAGAAAGCTGAGTGCCGAAGAATTGATGCTTTTGAACTGTGGTGTTGGAGAAGACTCTTGAGAGTCCCTTGGACTTAAAGGAGATCAAACCAGTCAATCCTAAAGGAAATCAGTCCTGAATATTCACTGGAAGGACTGATGCTGAAGCTGAAGCTCCAATACTTTGGCCAACCTGATGCGAAGAACTAACTCATTAGGAAAGACCCTGATGCTGGGAAAGACTGAAGGCAGGGGGAGAGAGGGACGACAGAGGATGAGATGGTTGGATGGCATCAACGATTCAATGGACATGAGTTTGAGCAAGCTCCTAGAGCTGGTGATGGACAGGAAGGCCTGGTGCACTGCAGTCCAAGAGTAGGACATGACTGAGCAACTGAACTGAGGAATGAAAGATATGAGGGTAACACTTGACAACTTAAAACTTAAAACTTAAGTTGTGAGTTTTGAGACAATGGGTCAGGCTGAAGAAATAGTCCTGGCAACAGTTCTGATAACACACCTTCCATAAACTTCTCAGAGAGGAGATCTTTCACAGAGGACACGTACATCATCATCATCATCAAAATACAATAGCAGCAGCAACAACAAATCCTTACATAGAACCTCACAATATATGCCAGGAACTGTTCTAAGTATTTTACTATATATTGATCAAATTAATTCACAACAACTGCATGAGGAAGGTACCACAATTATTTTGATTTTAGAGATGAAGAGAATGAGGCACACAGAGAGATCATGCAACTTGCCCAAGATACTGAAGACAGCAAGCCTTAGAATCCTGATAGGGCCAGGATTTGAATCCAGGCCACCTGGCTCTAGAGTCTATATACATGTTTATCCATTATGCTATAGCGACTCTCCATCTGCTTCATTTCATTCATACACCAACTATTTATTGAGTCAGTAGAATACTGACTGCTTTAGAACCAGGTCTGAAAAATCCTTCTGCCATTTATTAGTTGCATGACTCAGACTATCACTTTTTCTGTAAAATGAGGTTAAACGACACCTGTTTCCTGTAGTCACTGTGTGGAAGAGACAACGTGAGTAAAGCATATACCACTGTGGAAGCACATGGAAGGTGATAAGGTAGTCAGAAAACTACATTCTCTCTCCTTATTACTTTTTTGCCATGTATTTTTCTTAATTCTTATATCTTTACAACCCCTTGGGCTACAGCCTGCCAGGCCCCTCTGTCCATGGAATTCTCCAGGGAAGAATACTAGAGTGGGTAGCCATTCCCTTCTCCAGGGGATCTTCCTGACCCAGGGACTGAACCTGGGTCTCCTGCACTGCAGGCAGATTCTTCACCTTTTGAGCCACTGACAATTTCCTGTATTGTTTCTTCTTCTACTCCCCAAAATAACAAAAGTTAAGGAGTTCTTCCTTCTATGAGCCTGAAACATCATATATGGCTTAAACACATTCCACTTTCAGAGAGCACTACCAAAAAGGTCAGGAAAAGAGACTCTAGTGGACCAACTGACAGAAATCAAGAGAGCAGTCAGAAAAGCATACCTTCTAAGCATCAATTTTCACACAAGACAATAGTTGATAATCCAAAGAACAGGTTAACAGTTTGAGTAAATTCAATGTTTCCAAAACACCACTTCTTTAAATTCACTTCATTAACAGCCTTAAAAAAAAAGGTAATAAGATAATTTGATAATGTCCACTACTCAAAATTTAGCTCACAACAAAAATAAGAAATTTAGCTCCTGAGCATAAAAAAGTCCCTAGCATTCTAAATTTGCAGAGATAATGTTTCATATAATCCAGGTCATATTTTCACCTGGAAGACTACAATTTATTCTGAGTGCCTCTCTAGGAGAAATACCAACAAGCTGGAACATATCCAGAAGATCGTGAAATCATTAACTGCCACACGCTTGGCTGACCAAAAAAAAAAAAAAAAAAGAATGCTAGCTTGGAGAATAGTAAAGATGGTGTTCTCAAATTTATGCAGCCAAAAATGTAGTAAATGCTTACCATAAGTCAGGCACAGTGCTAGACAGACAGTGGAGAACATAATGACATACACTGGTGTGTTGTGATCTCCCTTCGTGTGGATTATACAATCTGGATTTAAAATAATAATAAAATGTGGCATCAGCTACTTTGGGATATGAACAAGGGCAACCAACATAAGTGGGGTGAAGGAGTGGTGAGAGAGACCTCCCTGAGACCTAAAGAATGAGAGGGAAGGAGTCACAAGATCTGAAGAAAGGAGGGGAAGTAAAAAAAGAGTGTTTTAGAGACAACATGTGTGAAGGTTCAGAGGAGAGGGAGAAGGACACAACTGTCCCCAGAACCAACAGCATAGGAACCCAGTGTGTGTGACGGGGAGGGTCGGGAGAACTAAAGCTGGAGGAGTACGTGATGACTGCTCATCTGAAAGGGTACCATATGGACAGAAGACAGGCTTGGTAAGTATTACTTTAGAGACTGACACCAATAGATAGAAAATACAGCTGGTGAATTTTGGCTTCACGTGAAGAAATTAAAGAACAGAGGAGCCTCTACTGATGCTGAGTCCCTTGTGGATAAAGATCTTCAAGAAGCTGCACAGCCCCTGACACAGCACATCAAAGGGAAACCTGCATGACCTGACATCTGTTTTTTTTTCCCCCTGCTCTGTGATTCTTTATGATTTCACTTTACTACATGTAATTATTGAATACTCTTCCCTG